GCGGGGCGCCGGGCGCTGGGGCTGGAGGAGGCGGCGGCTCTGCGCCTGCGGGATAACCGGGACCTGGCCGGCCGCGGGACGGCGTTTTCCCGTTCGTACCTGGCGCGGTGTTTCGAAGGCGCCCACCCGGCCCTGCCTGCCGAGGGGAGAGCAGCGCTCGTCGATTTTCTCACCAGCCGGGAGCTTGTTTCGTACGTGGCGCGAAACCTGGCTGTGCAGGACCTGACGCTGTGCAGCGAGTTCCCCGTCCCGCCGGACGTGCTGCAGAGGACGTTCTTCGCCGTGATAGGAGCCCTGCTCGACAGCAGCGGGCCCGAGAAGGCGGGGGTCTTTGTCAGGGCAAGTCATTTCCAATCAGATACTCTTGTCCTGGCAACAGTAACGTCTAAGAGTCTCAGGATTGGCAGGGGGGGAAAAAAAAAAAGGCAAAAAACCTAAATATTGCCTTGTAGTTTGATGGCCAGAGATCCAGGGAGACTGGCAGAGGTTTGACGATACCTGTAACGAGACAATTAACAGTGAGATCTGCTGGGTGGTGGCTGGCTGGGAGGTTTGGGGTTGTGGGGTTTTTGTTGGTTTGATGTTTTTTTCCTTGAAGAAGCACAGGCTGATCAATTGCATAAAATCAGATATTTTTGATTTATAGTGGTGGTATTTTAGTATTTGCTGACACTTGCTAAGGGAAAGCATTATATTCCATGCACTACACTATCAAATAATGAAATTATTCCATGTAAGGTCACATATATCTTCTATTTTAAAAAACACTTTATATAAAGCAGGGACTGAGTTCGTAGGCTTTGCATGCAGGAGTGCAAGCACCTAAAGATATTTCATACAAAAATGTTCAGTTGAAGTGCAGTGTATCAAAGTAGCCTTAGCAGCTACTGCCCTTTCAGTCATCCTTTTCACTAATTTCTGGTGTTGCAATGGAGAAACGTTTGTTAAAATCTTATTTCTGATACAGCGCCACTGCGAGGTCTCTGTCAGAGCAAGTATCCGTTAACAGGCGAGAGAGCCAAAGCGGTGAAAGTCCTGGGGGTCTGCGCGCTCCCCTCTACCTGTTTGCAGAACTCCCCTGATGCGCAGCTTCGCGCACAGCGCGAGTGGCGTGCCTCGTGCTCGGAGCTGCGCGCAAGCGGTGTCCCGGCCCCGCGCTCAGGCCAGCGCCGGCCCTCCTTTCGGTCTGGGGGGTGGTTTTGCCGGGGGCG